GTCAGCGCGGGGATATGGGGACGTGTCAGTGCGGGGATACAGGGACGTGTCAGCACGGGGATATGGGGACGTGTCAGCGCGGGGATACGGGGACGTGTCAGCGCGGGGATATGGGGACGTGTCAGTGCGGGAATACGGGGATACAGGGATGTGTCAGCGCGGGGATATGGGGATACGGGGATGTGTCAGCACGGGGATACGGGGACATGTCAGCGCGGGAATACAGGGACGTGTCAGTGTGGGAATACGGGGATGTGTCAGCGCAGGGATATGGGGACGTGTCAGCGCGGGAATACGGGGATGTGTCAGCGCGGGAATACGGGGATGTGTCAGCGCAGGGGTACGGGACGTGTCAGCGCGGGGATACGGGGATGTTCCAGTGGAATTTGGTCATTGCCAGTGGCAGGGCCTGCATGTGAGTCTCAGAGCATGAGGCCATTCCCAAACACCTGAATGACTCTCCTGCTATCCCATACTGGTTGTGGCTGGAAGCCGTTCCCAAGGAGAAGCCTTGCCTCCCTGCCCAGGGTTTCCCTTCCAGACTGGGCAATGTGTATAAAACAGCTCCTCAGTGCCTGTGCACTTTGGGCTGGAAATTCCCAGGGGATTCCAGAATTGTCAGGCATGACAGCCACTGGGAACGGGGATGACAGAATCCAACTGAGCCCAGTCCCTGTACTCCAATACAGCTGCTCCAGTTCTTTATGCCGTGCTCACTAAAGAGAAAGGACTTGCATTTAGACAGCACCTTTGCCAACCTGTGGACGCTCCCTAAAGCTGTGCTGCCAGTGAAGGTAAGTGGGAAGCAGCAGAACATTTGGACAAGGAGCGTCCCCAAATGACGCGCCACTGCAACCAGGTTCCCAGAATCCCACTGAAAACAGCCCATGTGCCAATGCACCAGGGTCAGGCTGAGCACGCAGTCAGGGAGTGTGTGGGAAGGCAGTTCTGGGCTTGATAATGGGAAGCAGTCCCTGCAGAAAGGAGGCACTTGCTTTCAAACGTTCAGTGGGAAGTTTTTAAACTCCCATTTCAGGCACCTGTACAGGAGTTCAATGTGCAACCTCTGAATGCCACTGTGTGATGCCTGCATTCATTCTGCAAATCACGCACTTCAGAATGGGCTGACATTAAGAACCCTGGATGAGGAGATTAATGAAGGAAGCCAGAGGCGCACTGAGAGATCGAGTTGCAGCACTGGATGAGCTTTCATGCCAATTTATCACTTGGTGTGCTTCATCACAACGACAGTGGTACAGCCTGTCAGTGGAGGGTGGAACAGGCATAGCAGGAATATAGGTCATTTCAGATCAGCTCTCGGCTCACCCCTTCGGGAAAAGGCTTAGCAAAACCTGGCCACTGATTTTGTGCTGTGCCTGATGTTTGTGCTTTAAATTCGCTGCTCGTTTCAGGGTTGGGGGTGGGTGGGGGACGGGGAAATCTACCCAGTGGCCAGGGACTGGAGAGATAACGGTGAGGAGCTCAATCATCCGACCCAAACCCACCAGGATCGGGAGATGTCGAGCGAGGCTTGGTGGAAACATGACACTGCTGCGACAGACCCTCGAGTAAGAGGTCTTGCACTGCCCATCAGTGACGCAGACTGAGAGAGAGACAGGTATCCTGTCTATCCCAGCCATGGGCACACACCCACCTGTGAGCCCCTGCTCACTAGAAACATTAATGTGTCCTGGTGCCTTACCCTCCATGTCCTGCCATGACACCAATGCAACGCTCCATCTCTAAGCCCCACATCTAAATCATCCCAGCACCATCCGCAAAATGATTGGAAAGTCACACAGCCTCTGCACCAAATGAACACGACCAGAACCTGTGCACACAGCACCCCCTCCCCAACAGGCTCTCTTTCTGAAACAGCACTCACTCCCCTCCTGCCTGCAATGCTTTCCTTCCTCCCTCTTTGTTTCCCTGCATCCTGTCCTCCACAAGTAGTATTCCTTCGTGCCAACTTCTGGGAGCCTCCTCTTCCGAAAGCTCCCTGAACTTCCGTCCAGCTCTGCCAGTGACTCCGACAGTGTCCCACTGGGAAGGTGGGAACAGACGTGGCTGCCCCATCTCCACTGTTGGACCACAGGGAAACTGCAGGCAGGAACTGGAACCATGGAGCAACCCAGCCTCTCTCAGGGGAGGTCGCTGCCCTGAAACCTTCCCTCCTGTTTCTCCCCTGATAGATACTGCCAGGGGTTGCTGGCCATCTCTCACGTCTTGCTCCAACAAAACCAGAAGATGCTGGAAAAGCTCAGGCAGCGTCTGTGGAGAGAAATCAGAGTTAACGTTTTGGATCCGGTGGCCCTTCCTCAGAACCATTCTCTGATTTCAAGATTTCTCTCCTCGGATTGCTGCTCAACCTGCCGAGCTTGTTCAGCAATTTCTGTTTTTTTTTGTTTCTGTTTATGTTTGTTTCCAATTTCCAGGCCCTGCAGTTCCTTCAGTTTTTATCTGGTGTTTTACACAGCGACCGTGTAAACAGAGACAGAACGCACTGCAAGGGTTACCTGGAGCCATCCTCATTCATAATGCGTGCTGCTCCAGTGGGAGTGTCCCCACCTCAGGCACAGGAGGCCTGGATTCACACCCTACCCGCTCCAACATCTCTCTGACCAGGCTGATGAGAAAATTTCTGAGCTGTAGAACCCTCGCAGCTACTCAAGTGCAAATCCAGCCCCTCACGATTGAATGTGAGCTCCTAAGATAACCATCAAAAAAAAGACAAAAAACAGACAGCGACACAATGGCACCGACACACTGTCAGGGATAAAAGAGACAGCAATTCTTGTGACAATGAGTGAAGAGAGAAGACATGTGGGACGCTGACAGCCTGTGGTACCCGTGGGAAGCTGCCAATCAATCTGATGGACATTGCTGAATGCATGGTGACAAAGACAAGCCTGGCGCCATCTCCACCCCATTCCTGCTGCAGCTCCAGTTCCACGCTGCCCCCAGCCTGCAGGCTCCGCGCAACGAGGGAGAGGGCAAGGGAGCGGGCGAAGATGGGAAAGGAATGAGTGAGCAGGGAGGAAAGGAACAGGGAAGTGAGAGAGGGAGCAAGGGGTAGGGAAGAAGGGAGAGCAGGAGAGAGGGAGAGTGGACGGAGGGAGGGAGAGTGGGAACAGCAGGATGGAGGCACAGAGAGCAGGAAGGAAGGAGGGAAGGCTGGAGGGAGGGAGAGTGGACGGAGGGAGGGAGAGTGGGAACAGCAGGATGGAGGCACCGGGAGCAGGAAGGAAAGAGGGAAAGCTGGAGAGAGGGAGTGAGTGAGATCAATCAGGAATTATTTATTATTGTCATGTACCTGTGTACAGTACAGGGAGATCATACCTTACAAAGAGCATTAGGGCAATAACAGAGAGCGAGATTCAACTGAATTCAATTTAAAATCTGAGAGGCTGATTCAGAAGTAGCAGGGAAGAAGCTGTTCTTGAACCTCCTGGGACATGTGTTTCGGCTTTGTACCTCTGCCCGATGGAAGAGAGTATGACTGGGGTGGGAGGGGTCTTTGATTAAGTTAGCCGCTTTCCTGAGGCAGTGAGGAGGGAGGGACAGAGAGCAGGAGGGAAGGATCTGGTGCAGGAGGGAGGGATAGAGGGAGCTAGAGCAGCCCATTGGGATCAAGACCGGAAGCATGAAGAAAGCAGGAACCAGTCAACGAGGTTGCAAGCTTGAAGTTGCTCACTCTTCTTTCCAGATCCCCACAAGGCCTCCAGCATAAGGGGATAATCACAGCCAGGGAATCCATGTGGGAATCTAATGCACCCTCACACTCGGGCTTTTCAACATTCCCTTCCAAACTTTCTCATCCGCACCGCTCTCACGGAGGCAGGAAATGCTGTGGAAGTTGTTTCTCTCTCTGTAAAGGAGTCGCTTCCCCTTCAAGAATCAGTCACTTGAACATCCCCAAAGACAGTTTGGGGTCAGCACTGCTCAACTCCTCACTGAGTCAGTCAAGGCTCGTTTCCTCTGAGCAACCTCCGGCTCAAGAGACAACACTTGACCATCTCGGATCCCACTGCATGTACCTTCCGGGAATTATCACCAGGCAAACCTGTGGTCCTGGTGGCCCCCACTCCCAGCTCCATTCAGGCAAACATTAAGGCTGGACGTTGCTCCTGAGCCAGAGGTACTGCCTCTCACATGAATGTCCATCTCAGACTGGTTTACCCTCTCAGCTGGCTGGCAAACATTCCACACCCAATCAATTACACCCAGGGCTCTCAGGCAGATTTGTTCCTCAACCACTGTCACTCGGAAGCACATCACCCTCTGTTTCTTTGCGGGATTTGGCTGTGAGAACATAACTTGGCTGCCAGGGTTCCTTTCACCACCATCTTTCCCAATGGCCAAGGATGGGGAAGGCGCTGCATGAATGCAGATTCCTTCTGAGCTGTCGTGCACAGCAGATGTGCGCATGGACGAGCCCCCAATCCTGTGGTGAACGGGATCATTTGTCAGCACGTTGTCTGAGGGACCTGCTGTCAAGGGTAAACTCTCCAGTCGGCCCAACGCCATGCCTGGACCAAGAAGTGGTGGGCACACCCAGATCACACACCAAGTGGCCAACGACAGGCAGCAACTGTGCCTGTACCTTCACCATCACCTTGCAAACTGTCAGGCAGGGACCTCTACAGATCAGCTGGCTCTTCCAGCCCCTTAGTACTTACGTGCTTCTTTTCTGCCTTTGGCCGTTTCCTCAGAATCATTCTCTTCGTCGTGGTCAGCGTCATGAATGTCGTCATCCTCATCCTCCTCCTCGTCCTCGTCATCATCATCCTCCACTGAGAACACGGCATCTAGACCAGGAGAGATGCCATCAGTCGCTGTAGTGCTCCACAAGCAGGATTTCCCCGTGACCAAGACCAGCAAGACCAAGTCTTGTCCAATCGGTTGCCCCATGCCCTCAGAGATGGGCTGCCCACACAGCTTTTCTGTTGGAATCTCAGCACCCCTCCCACTCCCAGGTCTCTCTCCCCTCCCACACCCAGACCAGGCAACTACCCAACAGAGGGAAGGAGCTGGGAGTTGGGAAGGGGAAGAGACAAAAAGATCAGTGACAGGTTGTACTGAGTTAGCACCTTGGCCACGGCACAGTTTCAGACTGGATAGCGCATCCTTTTGGATATTGTCAGTAGGCTGGCAGCAATGGAGGAGTTTGTAAGATGTTGAAGGAGGGGAGAGAGCTGGAAAGGTTTTGGGAGAGAATTCCAGAGGCTTGCACCATGACAGCCGTCACTAATAGATAATTAAAATGGGGATAAGTACAGAAAGAGAAGTGAGGAGATCTTATCAGGATGTGAGGGTGAAGGAGCTCTCAGAGACAATTGTGATGATACATGCCTTGAGGAGGCATTTATTTGTCCTCTTTCTCTTGGAGGGGTGTTATGAACCTGGTGCCAAGGTGTTTGCTCCATAAAAAGCAGAGTAGAATAGCTTTGGAGTTTTTAAAATTAGACGAAAGAAGCATGAGTGAATGGAGTCAGGCTCACACAGACCCAGGGTTTTAGTTTTGCTTTCAGTTGTTGAAGTTCAGGTTTTTGGAGTTGAAGCTGCCAGATACAGCTCTCTCTCAGCTGCTGCAAAAAGCTTTATTTGTTTCTGTCTCTGCTGCTAGATTCATTATGTTGGTGTTCCCTCTCCTGGCCTGGAGGAGATAGTAAAGAGGGGAAATCTAGTTTACTGAACTTGTCTTTGTCGAGGGTGTGTTTATGGAATGCTTCTCGAGTGGAACAGTTGATGAGTGGCACTGAAATGTTATACTATTTTGTTAATTATTTTGAAAGAGTTAAAGTTATGGCACTTCTTCTTTTCGATGTATTTTACCAATGGTGCAAGAATATAGTGTGTTTTGCTTAAAGCCTAGCAGTTTGACCAAATGAATCACATCTGTAACACAATGCCTTACACTTGGCTTTAAATAAGATAATAGTTAGAGTCTAGGCTATCGCCTTGATATGTTGTGAGGGGGGTTTGGTCTGGTGCAAGACACAAGAACATGGATGATATGAAAGGCATTGCCTGCCTGGAAGTGGTGTATAATACAGGGCTGAGAAATGGAAGGCAGTGACTTGGGTGGTGAGCAACCATGACCTGACATTTACAGACAGCCCTGACACGGAAGGGCGATCGGGACGGGCCTGGAGCAGTCACGTTGAATGGGGACAGATGGTGACACCCCACCTCCCCCAGGGAGGTGCTGGGAGCCTTCGGGCCGTTTGGGGCCTGCCACGTACCAGAGACGTTGACGGCGAAGCGTGAAGTCTCACTGCCAGACGGCCCATCAGTGACACACGTGTACAGCCCCGAGTCTTCCCGCACTGAGCTGGTGATCTGCAGGAACTCGGCTGTGATACGGGTTCGGTTGTTGGTGGGCAGCTGGACCCCGTCCTTGCTCCAGTCGATGCTCTGCACATCTTCCCTCAGGCGACAGCGTAGCTCCAGGGTCTGGCCTGGGTGGGCGAGGTATGTCTCCACCTCTGGCCTCTGTTTCAGTGAGCCTGCAAAGACAAGAACAACTCAGAGATAGTAGGAACTGCAGATGCTGGTGAATCCGAGACAACAAGGTGCAGGGCTGGATGCACACGGCAGGCCAAGCAGCATCATAGGAGCAGAGAGGCTGACCCTTCGAAGGGTCTAGGCCCGAAACATAGCCTAACAACTCAGAGAGGCAGGCACATTGCAAAAAGCCCACAAGTGCACAGTGCTCGCTGACAGGGAACACAAGGGAACACACTGCTGGGCAGGTTCCTCCTACAATCGGGCATGTCCGTCAATCTCTAAAACCTCACAAGCTCCTGCCAAGTACTCAGGCCTGAAAGGCCCAGTGTAGGACAAGCCCTGGTTTTTCAGCACCAAAAAAAAAACGGGGCCAACCTACTGAACAGGTTCCATTCCATGCTACCATCGAGGGTCATTGGATGGCCTGAGCCAAGAGCCACCAAAGTCATCATGGGAAAACAGTCTGCCATTGGAACGAACCTTGATGTGAGCCTCAAGGTGACTTGTGCCTCCTGACTGGTACCTCTGGGTCAGAGGGAGATGGCAGTGCAGTGGTCCCTGGAACTAAACCAGCCATCTAAAGACCCAGCCTAACATTCTACAGATGTCAATCCAAATCCCAGCTGGTGGTATCTGAACCCAACTGACCCATCTGACATCTACACCTCGTCTCAGTCACGGTAGCCATCAACTATCACCCTGAGCTGAGTCAGGCACCCTTCCAACCAGCCACAATCTTACTGACTAGCAGAGCGATCTTAAAGGGCTCTTCCTGCTGAGAATCCACACATTCTCCTGAAGGTTTGGGGGGGAATAACTGATGGAAAGCTGAACATGACCAAAAGCCTCTAACCCAATGAGCAGCTGTGGTGTGCAAAACTGGCTTCTGACTTGGGGACATCCAACACTTGGTTCTGTTGTCTCTTGCGCACAGCCGGTTAGGAAAGGGTTTTGGGAAAGAGCAGAGCTCTCAGCCTGAGGCATGGCTCCCGATAACTTTGTAAACTGGTCATTTCTCTCCTTTGAGCTGACGATAAGACATCAGAGGGAGCTCAGGGGGTAGAGAGCCTGAGGGGTTCCCAGGTACATGTGGACAGTGTGTGTTATAAATATTCTCTAACTTGGCAATCACTTTCCTGCTTTAAGCACATACCACCTCACCTTGTCTGACTATCTCAATACCACTCTCGTGACTAGGAGACTCTTTAAGAGTTGACAGGAGCTACATCGGGTGGGATTGGTCGGGTGGGATTGGTTCTGTGCCCATGTGCCAGTTGGATGCCCACATTCCTCAGCCTCAGGAGAAGTGGCTGTGTGCGATGGCCCAGTCCTTTTGGGTTTCCTGCCTCATCTCCTACTCCATCAATCATCACCTGGGCTGTCCACACAGGCTGTACGCCAAAAGTGAGGGCTCAGCTGACCCTCTGCTCCGCCAACTCTCGGTGGCACCTGACCAACTCAGACAACGCGAGTGTGCGGAGAATTCCCTGCCATTCCATACGGCACCTCTGACAACGTGGAATGCCCCCAGCACCCACTGCCTTGTTCCCAGACCACTCACTCACTCCATGCCACTGAGGCACAGTGTCTGTCGGGAGAGATGCCAACAGCATGGGTTCAATTCCCATCACTGGCTGAGGTCACTGTGAGGGACTCTGCTTCTCAACCTCTTCCCATCGCCCGGGGTGGGGGGGCTGGCCCTCAGGTGAACCGACTACCAAGTCACCTCTCTCACTCTCTGATCAGATGGCAGCCCTGTGGCACTCTGGGATTGTAGACATGTGACCCCTTGCCTTTTGCCAACCTGAACAGTGAGCCAAGGAGCGGTTTCCTCCAGCCACAAGGGATGACACTGAGGCACCAAAGTCTCACCGATCTGACTCGGGAGTGACTGTTGTGTTGCACTGTTTGTACTCAGTTAACAAAGGGAGGGACGCAGTCCCTCAGCTCAATCCCACCCCCCAGCCCCAGCACACAAACCCACAAATCCTGATCCCACACTCCCAAGCAAGGCTAGTTTCCCGAGGAAAATGTGCCCAGCTGTTCTGTCAAGCAGTGTCCTACAGCATATCGTCAGGATAGTCAACATCTCAAACAGAACAGGAACTAAGCAGACACCTTCTTACGAATCGGCATTTGGTTACAAGGAGCAGGTAATAAAGCTGTGAGTGTTAGACAGAAGGCCTGCACTCCAAGGGTTAACCAGAGCTGGTTTCCTGTATTCTGGGAGCTGCTCAGCCTCTGGCTCTGACTGCGCCATCCCAACAAAGCGAAGGAAAGGCACAATGTGGCAGAGATTCACCTTCAAAACCCCCGAGCTTCAGTCCAACAGCCCAGGAGCGTGACCCTTCCTGTCTCTGCTTCACTGCATCCAAATGGTGCCAAGCCAGAGAGAGAGTGAAAGAGAGACAGACAGAGAGGCAGAGAGAAAGAGAGAGAGACAGAGACAGAGAGAGAGAGATTCAGACAGAGAGAGACAGAGAGAGAGAAAAAGAGAGAGATAGAGAGAGGGAGAGAGAGAGGGAGAGAGCAAGAGACAGGGGATGGGAGAAGAGGGGGGGAGAGAGAGAAAGGAGGGGGAAGGAGCGAGGGAGAGCAAGAGAGTGTGTGAGAGAGAGACAGACAGAGGGCAGGAGAAAGACAGGCAGGAACAGGGAGGGGAGGAGTAGGGGGAGACAGAGGAGGGTGAAGGGGAGAGAGAGGGACGGGAAGAGAGTGAGGGAAAGCAAGAGAGTGTGAGAGAAACAGAGAGAGAGAGAGCGGAGAGGGAGAGAGAGGGAGGAGTGGGAGAAAGAGAAGGGAGAGGGAGGAG